TCAAGACAACGTTGTCTACAGAGTGAGTTCCAGGGCAGTCAGGGCTATACAAAGAAATCCTGTCTCAAAAAAACAAAACAAAACAAAAAAACAATCAATCAAACAAACAAAAACAGAGCTAGGATGTAACACAGTTGTACAGCATTTGCCTAGCATATAGAAGTCCTGGGTTCAATAGTCAATACTATCAAAAATGTAAGTACAAAATGGTTACAAACAACTTCAAAGTTGCTGGAAGACAAATTAGTACATACAAAACAGTAAGATCAGTGTCTAATACAAAGAAAACTTTTAATAGTATGATAGCACATACCTGCAATCTCAGAATTCAGGAAAGTTAGACAAAAGAATAGTGAAAAAACCAGCCTTGGCTATGTTATAAGTTTGAAGCCACTTTGGGCTACATTTCAAAATGCTGACCCAAAACAAACAAAACAAAAACATCGTTTTTTGTTCAGTATCATCCTACCTTGTATTAATTTAGTTCTATATGAATTTGGGCTTTATGCATTTTAAATGTGTTTTAATCCATTGTGACTATATTCAAGCTTCACAATAACCATGTACATTAGATCAGACTGAAAGCTTATGAATAGTTCCTGCTATAAGGAAAAACAACTAGCCAAAGGGTAGGAACTGAATACACAGCAAATGCCCTCCTTAGGCCAGAGACATGTCTCCATCATTTCTGAATACCACCCCCCATTCCCATCCACATAAGCACATATTCAATAAATCCATGTTAAATTGGACTGACTACACAGTTGTCAGGCTATGAACAGAACAACCCCAGCCCAGTAGCCAGAGGATGAGGAAAAAAAAAAAAAAAACAGGATTCATCATTCCTGGGCATTCCTAACCAGCCTGAACAGACAAGAGGGCTACTATTCCCAGGCCAGACTCCAACTCATTCCTGAGAGGGAAGGGAGCATCCAGAGGTCACTTAGAGGGAAATGTCTGTATTGCCCCTGCACAAATAACCTCTGAAGCAGCAAGGAACCAGGCTAATGTAATAGGACATTGTTCAGACCATCCCACCAGGCCAAATAGGGATCTACATATGCTTCAGAGGCACATAATGCTGCCTTGCTAATTGAAGGGGGAGTTGCCTTTTACAGAGCTTAGGCCAGTCTATAAATACATGGTCCTACCCATAAATGTTTTGTCTCCCTCTCCAGCTTATCCTACACTCACTATTCCTATCCCCCACAGACTTTGTCTTCCATGAAATAAATACTGGCTCTGAAATCACTGTAACTTTGGTTCTAGCTCTAACACAGTAAATTACAGTACTTCATGTTGTTGAGATTGGTATCCTGATCTATACAGTGTGGTGGCTTCTATAGCAAGATCCTATCTAAAAAGAAAACAAGGAAAAAAGGGAAAGAAATAGGGAGGGAGGCAGAGTCACTTAAGCACCCTGTGCCTCACCTTCAGTAACCTTAAAATGTAACTCCCACCCCACTTCAAGCCATAGTCATGAGAATAAGAGCTGATAACACCAGCATTAGCTGAATACTACCCATGTGCTAGATACCAGGCCAGGCACTTCAGAGTTCTCATTTCAGATAATGCTCAAAACCCACAGCCTATGGTACATGCAGTTATTAACCCCCATTTTCAGTTGAAGAAGCTGAGACTTAGCAAAAAGACTCAGATAGAAAACTCTAACACTATGAAAGCAAGAGTCATCTGCTTTTATCATTTCTTCCTCAAACAGCTATTTGAGTATCTTTTGGTTGTTAGAACTGTTCCCTCTAATGGAGATACCATAATAGAGGGAGACATTTTAGGTTTACAGAGAAATCAGGCACTGGGAAATATCTGGAGATCTACAAAAATGACACCAGCTAACAATCTAAGCAACAGAGGAGAGGCTACCTTAAATGCCCTCCCCTGATAATAAGATTGATGACTGACTTATATGCCACCCGATAGCCCTCATCCAGCAGCTGGTGGAAGTAGAAGCAGACACCCACAACTTATCACCGAACTGAACTGGAACCCAGATGCAGAAAAGGATGAGTGAAGAGCAAAGGGGTCCAGACCAGGCTGGTGAAACCCACAGAAACAACTGACCTGAACATCGGGGAACTCTTGCTCCCCAGACTGATAGCTGGGATACCAGCATGGGATTGATCCAGACCCCAGGAACATGGATTTCATTGAGGAAACCTCAGAAATCTACTGGACCTCCTGTAGTAGTTCAGTACTTATCCCTAGCATAGGTGTGGACTTTGGGAGCCCATTCCACATAGAGGAACACTCCCTGAGCCAACACACACAGGGGTGGGCCTAGGCCCTATCCCAAAGGATATGATAGACTCTGATGACACCCTATGGAAGGTCTCACCATCCAGAGGAAGCAGAAAGGATATGTGATAGGTAGGGTTTTGGTTGGGGGGGTAGGGGAGGACGGGAGAAGGAACTGGGATTGTCATGTAAAACAATCTTGTTTCTAATTCAAAAAAAAAAATCTGAAAAAAAAGACAAAGCTAAAAAAAAAAGAACTGTTCCTTTTGTTTTAAATATGTCCATTTGATTTTCATATCAATTGTATTAAATGTGGCTTTAATAAGTTACTCAAGTTAAACATACCACTAGCATATAATTCAAATAACACAAAAAAGTAGTTTAAGCTGCTATAGTTTAGACAAACAGATCTCTGTGAGTTTGAGGCCAGCCTCATCATCTACATGGCAAGTTCTAAGACAGCCAGAGTTACTCATAGATACCTACCCCTTCCCCACAAAAAAAGAGAGGAGAGAATGAGGCAAGATGAAGTTATAGTTTCTCTTATCTTTATGACCTAGAATTCCCTCCCCCAGGTGATTATTAATATGTTAATAAGCTACCTTTCTAGAGACTGTGAACATCAGTTCTGTTTTACAAACTACGAAACTGAGGATCAGTTGGGAATAATGATGAATACCTATAATCTCAGTATTAAGAAGGCTAAGGCAGGAAGATTGCCGAGTTTGAGACTAGCCTGGGCTACAAAGTGAGACCTCATCTAAAACAAATTGTAAAGACTGAAAAATAAAGTCCAATTTGCTCAAGGTCATACAACTGGCAAGTAGAAGAGCTGAGACGAAGCAAGGTCACTCTAAGCCCACTACCTTTTCTGTTGCCTTCTACTAAGTACTCTCTTATGAAAACAACTGTCATTTTTAAAGGACACAGGAACAGGGAAACTGCACCTGGCCCACAGCCAGTTTTACTCCTCCACTTTCCCAACTAAATAAAAAAGCAGGCAGGCTGCCCAAGTACATCTCTGGTCCAAGAATGCTGCCACTCCTTCATATTCTTTCTATTCTAGGCAGCCACAGCTATACTGTCCTTGCAGCTCACAGTCTCATCTTCAGCCTCTGAAACAATACAAGGTCAATTGTTTAGAGTCAGAGAACATGCTGGTCTCCTCTTAGCAATATCAAAAGGAAGACTCTTCAAAAGCCCAGAAACACCACCAGGCTAAGAGTCCATCAGATGATTACAAAGGAACAGTTAGAATCAAGATTCCAACAACACCTAATTTGGGGTGAGCTTGCTGAGCCACTCAAAATCCCCAGGGCACAGTGTTTGTAACCTAATGAACTTGGTTCATCTCTGCTTTGTTTTACTCCTATTTGACCATCAACCATATAGATTTTGAGATATTATTTCTGTTCCTGGGGACTTTCTCCCTCTTCCGTTGTGTTATATGGGAACATTCTTTCTTAGGATATTAAGGCTATCAAATTATACTCATTCACATTTTTTCCGATTTATTTTTATGGTGTGTGTGTGTGTGTGTGTGTGTGTGCGTGCGTGCGTGTGTGTGTGTGTGTGTGTGTGTGTGCGTGCGTGCGTGTGTGTGTGTGTGTGTGTGTGTGTGCGTGCGTGTGTGTGTGTGTGTGTGTGTGTGTGTCTGTCTGTCTGTCTGTCTGTCTGTCTGTCTGTCTGTGTAGGCAGGTATGAACATGCCTGAATATGCATTGGATTCCCTCTTAGAGCTGGAGTTACAGCCAGTTGTGAGCTGCCCAGCATGGATGATGGATCCTCTTCAAGAATAGGACTGGTTCTAACTACTGTACCATCTCCCCAGCCCCCATGTTTGAAATTTTGCTCCACTGATCCACAAAAACACACTGACTTTTGAGCACTTGCTGCTCTTACAGAGGACCTGGGTTCAGTTCCCAGGAACCACATGGTAGCTCACAACCATCTGTAACTGCCTCCAATTCTAGGGAATCTAATGCCTTCTTCAGGACTCTGAGGGCCCAAAGCATACAGGAGATGCATATACATACATACAGGCAAAACAAACACGTTAAAAGAAATCCTTTTTTTTAAATCCCAACTCATTGTCAAAGGTTTTTGCTTTTCCCATTTATATAAGAAGAATAAAATTTAAGTACAGTTGTCCCTTAGTATTCACAGGATTACTGGTTCCAAGACCCCTGAAGATACCAAAATCTGAAGCTATTCAAGTACCTTATTTAAAAATAACATAGCAGTTACTTACAAATATCCTCCCATATATATACACATATATATATATATACATATATTTCCCATATATACTAAATCCTCTCTAGATTACTTGTAAGAACTAATGCCGTACAAATTGTTATGCTGTATTGTTTAGAGTAACAAGGAAAACAGTCTACATGTTGCCCAATACAGACACATTTTTCTCCCCCCAAATTGTCAATGTAGGTTAGATGAATCCACAGATGAAGAACTCACAACCTTGTGAGGGCACATATGTTATATACGAGATATCTTGTGTGAGAACAACTTATACAATGCAGAAATTTTTGCTGCTATTAATATAGATGTCTAGCCCATAGAGTAAGCATAGGAAATTTAAAACACACTTAAGGTATTTGAAATGTGTAAGAAAAGACTAAAACACTGGAGAACAACTCAAATAATACGTCATTAAGGGAGAGGGCATTCAGTAACCTCTCATACAATTAACACCTAAGTCTAGACGCATTACGTGAAAAACTCCTTACCTTAGCACCATCATGTCTATATCTTCCCTATTAAAGGTGTCACCAATGGCTCTGACATCTGGTTCATATTACCACCCTCTGCTTATAGTCCTAAAAATAAGCATGTACTTTTAGACAAGCATACAGGGGGCAAATGAGAAGCAACTATAAAATTATTCATTTCTGAAGAACAAAGAAGCAAATCATCCTGTGTTAACTATTTCCTTATCTATAGCTGAATTCACACTCAGTGACAAATACATTTATTTCTCTAAGCTCAAAAACAAATGTGTAAATGGTTTTAGGGCATGACTGAGACCTACCAACAAGACTCTAGAAGCAAAACCTGCACCTGCAAATTAGCAGATATACCGTTTCTGTTTTCAACCATAACACTTTAAAGAACCCTGTAATGTTTTCTAAAAATATTTTATAGGTGTTTTGCATGCATGTATGTCTGTGCACCACGTTATGTGCCTAGTGCCCACAGAGGTCAGAGAGGGTTTTAGATCTGCTGTGAGCCACCATGAAAGTGCTGGGGATCTAACCCAGGTCCTCTGGAAGAGCACCCAGTACTCTCTGATAAGTCATCTCTCCAGCCCCATATAATTTGTTATTTACTGCCCTTGCTATATAGTGAGACCCTGTCTCCTAAATCAAATAAATAAAGTACAATATAAAAACTTGAGGGAATATGAGAAGGGGAAAAGAACCTATGAAATACACACCACCAGGGGCTGGAGAAATGGCTCAGCTGTTAAGAGCACTAACTCTTCTTCCAGAGGTCCTGAGTTCAATTCCCGGCAACCACATGGTAGATCACAACCACCTTGAATGAGATCTTTGCGCCTTCTGCTGGCATGCAGGCAGAAGACTGTATACTTGATAAATAAATAAACTCTTTAAAAAAAAGGAAAAGAAAAGAAATACACACCACCTATCCTATCTATTCCCTTCTCCCACATTGTCTCTCTCAATAGAAAATAAAGGGCAGTGTAAGGCTTGGGATGTAGCTGAGTTGGTAGGACACACATAGCATGCACAAAGCTGTGGGATCTTTCTTGTACAAATAAAGCCTGTCTGGGGGGTCAGAGAATAGAGCTTCCACTAGCTAACCATAGAGAACTGGAGATCTGTACAGAATGACAGGAAGTGATGTAGCTGGGCAGAAACAGGATATAAGCAGGGAGAAACAGGAAATCGTTCTCTCTCTGCTGAGACACTTAGGAGGTAAGAGGTGCTGTGGCTTGCTCCTTCTCTCTGATCTCTCAGCATTTCCCTCTATATCTGACTCCTCCTTTTTCTTATATAGACCAACTAAGAACTCCTTTTACACAGAGCTTTGGGTTCAAATCCCAGTACCACATAAACAAACATGAAAGTACCTACTTATAACCCCTAGAACTTGAGAGGCAGAGGCAAGAGGTTCAGAGTTCAAGGCCAGGGACTGAAGGGTTAAGAGAATTGGCTTCACTTCTAAGGGATCCAGGTTTGATTCCCAGCAGCCATATGGCATAACAGCCTGAAAACTCCATCCAAGGGATCCTGGCCTCTGGAGGCACACACAAATGGTACACAACTCTTTTTCTGAAATGGAATTTCACCATATAGATGCTGACCTCAAACTTGAAATCCCCCTGCCTTAGAGTGAATAGACACTGAGTTATAGATATGGCAGGCCATGTCTTGTTAGAATTATTAATTGGTAAGATCTTTTCCTGACATTATTTAACTGTGGTTTTATAAGCAGTTAAATACATAGGTTTCCAATAGAGCTAAATCCCTGTATATTTTTATTTCTGTACATAGTCATTTCTTCTCAGAGGTCAGGTCAGCCCAAGCACACACAAAGACACAGACTCCAGGATCCTAAAACACCATCATATTAAAATCTGGTTAAGTGAAGCTACAAAGCAAAAAAGCCTTACACCACCCAGATCAAGCTCCTCTATCTAGCAAGCAGTTTACTACTAGTGAGATTAAGGAACTCGCCAAGGATTCTGCCAGAGGTCTCTCTTCCTTTCTAGGGTGACTGCAAGCCCAATATACAGAAACCACTAATGAAGTCAGAATGGTAAGGCTCTGTGTCTACTGTATACAACAGAGTTCTCTAAGTTAACTCCTGGGTATTTCCCTAGACCGATAACTCACGCAGTCAAGTATTTTAACTATTTTGTTCTCTTTTAAGAACTGTATATATGGATTGGACATGGTGGCACATGTCTTTAATCTGGGGGCAGAGGCAGAATGATCTGAGTTTGAGATCAGCCTACATAGCAAACTCCAGAAATGTATAGAGTGACCCTGTCTCAAAAAACAAACAAACAAAATGTACATATGGCACCTAGCTGATGTATTCACTACATGCCAAATAAATTTAATTTCTTTTATTTTTTTTGCAGTAACTATCTACCTGCCTCTCACCAGTCCAAAACCCAAACTGATTATCTGCTCATAAATTATTACAACTTGAGGGTATATGTAAACAGGAAAAACCATGGACCAATCAACTCTTAAGAAACCCAGAGCCTGTTTTTCTTGCTACCCTACTATGCAACAAATAAAATCCCCACAGGATTAAACAAGGAAGATGGCCTTCCTAGAGCAGAGCTTCTACCTGCAGGTGGATGAGAAATAATCAAGGACTAATAACAAAGGTGTGCAGTCAGCACACCATTCACTAATGTCTAGAAATGCCCTGAAAACACCAACCACAACAAAACAACAGCTCCAAATATAAAATTTTGTTCACTAGCTTTCAGGAATGGGGAAGAAGAGAATGTATGAGCTTTTTCTTTCCTAGGAGACCTACAGTTACAGATGTGTGTTCACAGTATCTTTTAAGTGTGTGGCTGATTCCATAAAAAATAAACCCCAGAAATCAAACCCAAGCTATGAAGGGGCTGTCACTAATGGAAGGAAGAAAAGAGTGGGGAGGGGGATAGGTAATAAGTAAGGAGGTGGGAATATAGGATTCTTCCAGATGACTGCTGTCTCCCAATCTTCAAGCAACCCTACTATGTCTAAGACACTAACAGCACCTGCTACGGTCTCACCTGGAAGACCTAGGGAGAATAAAAACAACAGAAAATACAACCCATTGGCCTGAGGTCAAGTAGCATTTCTGAATCACAAAGAGAGCACAGCACAGGGGCAAAAAATAGTTAAGAAGCCTAGCTATTATGCAACTATACCCATATAAAGAAAGCATTCTCTTGGGCTGGATGGCTCCAGCAGCTAAGAGCAAGTACTGCCTCCAGAATACCAGAGATTGATTTCCAGCAACAACACTGGGTGGCTCACAACCACCTATATTCCAGGGCCAGAGAATCTAACACCCCTTTCTGGTCTCTATGGGTACCTGCACTCAAGTACACATATCCCTTCAAAACTACCACTGCAGAGGCTAGGGTAGCTCAGATGATAGAATGTTTGCCAGCATTCATAAAGCCCAGGATTTTATCCCTAGTACTAAATAAATCAGGATACAAGCCTATAATCCATCACTTGGGACGCACAGGTAGGAGGATCATAGTTCAAGGTCATCCTCAGCTTCTTGCCAGTTCCAGACCAGACTTGGTGGCATATCCTGTCTCAGAAACAACACACCATAGAAGAACATGAGTTTATTCAGAACAAAACAAAACAATATGAATCACACACTTGGCTAAGGACCCAATCCACTTTCTAAAGATAGGCCCAGAGGAAGACAAAAAACAAAATGACAAGGTGATCATACTGGGGTAGGAAGGAGCCTGGCTTCTCCACTGATCCTTTCCAAGTAAGCTCTGGGCCTCCATTTCTCCTTTTTCTTTTAATAGGAAAAGAGGATCTCAGACTTCAAAGTCCAATTCTCCCAACTTTAATGAGCCTACAGTTTCTCTTCAAATACTTGGTTTGTTGCACAAGAACCTGATGGAATCTAGAAACTTACCTACAGTCAAAAAGTTTATGCACTATGGTGTCTTATGCCTTTAACCCCAGCATTGTGGAGGCAGAGAAAGGTGGATCTCTGTGAATTGGAGGCCAGCTTGGTCTACACTGCGAGTTCTAGACAGGGCTAAATAGACAGACCTTGTCTCAAAAAAATAAAAATAAGTAAAATTAAAAATAATTTGACTCAAAAAATTAATAATAATAATTTGACTCAGGTGGGCTTTGGTGGTGCATGCCTTTAATCCCAGCACTCGGGAGGCAGAGGCAGGCGGATTTCTGTGAGTTTGAGGCCAGCCTGGTCTCCAGAGTCAGTGCCAGGATAGGCTCCAAAGCTACACAGAGAAACCGTGTCTCGAAAAACCAAAATAATAATAATAATAATAATAATAATATAAATAAATAAATAATTTTACTCCTCACTGGGCCTCTTGAAACTCTAGGGCTTGAATCTGTATTAACAGTAGGGCCTACTCCAAATCCCAACAATTTAGACAATGAACTCTACCAGGTAAGTTATAGCTGCATTCATGAATATTTATACACACACATCTGAAGAACTTTCCAGAAGGATTAACCTTTGGCTTAGTTCCAGATATAAGAAGGCTACCTAAAGTTCCCCGTTTTTGCCTGTCCTGGAGGGCATGGGCCCTGCCCTATATTTCTCTAGAAAGAAACTGTCCTGATACTCTTGATAGAAAACAACTAGGTGACCCATAAGTGTGTAGTTTCAAGGGCTTTTAGTAATGATCTAGAAGCAAGAAAAACAAAACCTGCGGCTGATTATGAAGGCTGTTCCAATTAGGACAAGGGCAAAAGGAGAGAAGCCATTACATTATTCCAGTAAGGTGGCTGGCTTGATGAAAATGCTCAGGATTAGACCCCATAGAGGAAACGACACTCTCAGCAGCACCATCTGCTCCTTCTGGTGTCTAGCCTGATTTTTTTTTAACTCAGCTGAAGCCAGAGTACACCTGTATGAGGGCTGTGAAAGCTGCTCCAAAGAGCACTGTTTCTCAGATCTGCATATTCACTGTATTCAAAGCCACTTCAGATCTTTCCTACCTCTCCAGAAGACACATGGAACCACAGCACAATCTCTACAAGGAAAGGAAAAACTTCTGAGAACTACAGATCACATTTAATAATGAAAGCATAATA